CGTTGGTTTCAAGTCTATTTGAGAAAAGAACGAAAAATACAAACAAAAAAAAAAAAAAAAAAAAAAGAAAAAAAAGTATTATTTAATTAATTTTTCGTAGGTCGCAGTATTAACTCGGTGGGGTATCATTAGTTTATAATAAATACTGCTTGATCAAAATGGGTAAAACAAAAAAGGGTCGTTCCTCCAGCTCCCCAGGTTCTTCCCCGGCGGACGACAGGGTTGACTTGGTTCAGCTTTTACCAGCTAATAATGTACCTCCATCGGAAGAGGAAATAATTTCTTTTCTTTCCGCACGTTTTAAAGCTGACTTACCTTATACTCGTATTAATGATTCCTCTCTTGTGGTAATAAACCCTAATAAACCCTTGGAATCTATGAACGATGCTTCGGCTAAAGAATATGCCGATCAATGGTACAAAAATACAACTGGTGAAAAGATAACTTTACAACCCCATATTTATGAGTTAGCTGCTAAAGTTTATTTTCACATGAGAAGATCCGCTGAAGACCAATGTGTAATTTTTAGGTTTGTTCATATTATTATTACTTTTTTGTTTAATTAAACGCGTTTATACATTTATTTTATTTCATTAATTGGATTATATTTTAATATTTACGCGTCAATCCAATTTTTATAATACTTTTTTTTTTTTTTTCTTTTTTTTTTTTTTTAGTGGAATTAATGGTTCAGGGAAGACTGTAACCGAAAGTCACCTTTTATCACAACTTTTACTACTTTCAACTCATACAAAAAAAGAGGCAAAAATCGCTAATCAAATTCAAAATGCTCAAACTATTTTAGAAGCCTTTGGTAACACAAAATCAATAAATAATATTAATGCTTCACGTTACGGAAAGTATCTAGAGTTACAATTTAGTGAAAGAGGAAGAATTGTTGGTGCAAAGTTTTTAACTTACTGTTTCGATAAAGCAAGAGTAACTGATGCTCCTCTCGGTGAAAGATCTTATCACGTTTTTTATTATTTATTGGCTGGTGCTACTCCTGAGGAACGTTCCCTAATGCATCTTCAAGATCCTCAAAATTATTTTTATTTATCTCAATCAAAATGTTATAAGATTGTTGGTATGGATGATAGTGTACAAATGGATGATTTACGCGCTTCTCTTAAAACTCTCGGTTTCAAATCAAAGACTGTTACTCAAATTTGGCAAATATTAACGGCTATTTTATTACTGGGTAATATTGAATTTATTGGTCCTGGTAAAGCAAAAGATGAAGCTGCTACTATTAAAAATCGTCACGTTTTGGATTTGGCTGCTCAGTATTTAGGTGTACCGGCTTTCAAATTAGAACAAACTTTAACTTTAAAGAATAAATTAATTGGAAAAGATTTATGTACCGTTTTCTTAGACGCTGAAGCTGCTGCTGATCAAAGAGATTCTTTAGCTCAAGTTTTATATTCTATATTATTTACTTGGATAGTTGAACATATCAATTCAAAATTAATTCAATCTGATGAACCTCCTAATTTCATTGGTCTGTTAGATCAACCTGGTTATCAAAATTCGGGAAAAAATGGTTTTGAACAATTCTGTCTTAATTTTGCTACTGAAGAAATTGAAAATTACGTATTAAAAAGACTTTTCGATGATAATTTTGGTACTAATGCTGAAATTATAAATGATGGTGTTCCTTTACCAAATGTTTCTGTTACCTACAATAATCATTGTGTTGAATTATTAAGAGGTAATGGTTCTGAGGGAAAACCTCGTAGTTTCATTTCAATCTTGGATTCTGAAAGTGCTAAATTTCAAAATGCTACTGAAACTGTCGGTGATTCAACACTTCTTACTGCATTAAAACAGGCCTTTTCTAGTCATCATTCTTTTGTTTCGAATCCTTCTGGTTCGAAATCATCTTCAAAATCGGGTGTTTTTGGAATAAACCATTTTGCTGGTTTGGTTGTTTATGATATTGATAGATTTATTGAAAAGAACATTGATAATTTATCTCCTGATGTTATCGGTCTCTTTAAAGAAACTAATAATACATTTATTAGAAAATTATTTTCCGGTCCTGCTTTGGCAATTGAAAATCATCCAAAAAACGACAAAACTGTTGTTGCCGCTCAATTACCTACTAAACCGATGCGTGCTCCAAGTATGAAGAGATCAAAGAGAAATAATAATACTTCAAATGAAAAAGAATCAAAAAAGATACCATTGGCTCATGTTTCAACTGTCGCAACTCAACTTTATGGAACATTAAATCAATTGATAGATACTTTAAATTCTACTCGAATGTGGAATGTTTTCCAAATTCGTCCCAGTGATAAAAGTGATCCGAATCTTTATGATTCTAAACGAGTAAAATCTCAAGTTCATAGTTTCTTGATACCTGAAATTGCTGCTCGTAATAGAGTGGAATATATCATTAAATATAATTTTGCTGATTTTTTGGATCGTTATAAATCAATTATCCAACCTCATAATTTGGAATCTTCTCGAAATCTTCGTCAAAAAGTTGAAGAATTTGCTTTGAGTAATGGATGGGAGGATGGTAGTTACGCTATTGGGCATCAAAATGTTTATTTATCTAATTCGGTCTGGAAATATTTGGAAGATATTCTAAAAACTGCTGAAAAAGAGGAAAGATCAAAGACTAAACAATTTAGAGATGATGATAGTGTGGCCGGTGGAATTCCTTTAGATGGTGGTCGAAATACACATTTACCTAGTTCTACAAGTTCAGTGGATCGGTTAATACCGAGGAGTGGTTTCGCTTATGCTGAGAGCATGAATATTATAAAGCAAAGTGTGAATTTTTCACGCCAAGCCATTCGTATATCAGGACGTTTCATTTT